ATATTGGTGAAGCCATGGTAATTCTGCAGGCCCTTAGTGATGAAAGTGTCAACTTAAACTGTCTTGATTAAATCCCTTTCATAACATAGGTTTAAGTGGGTAAGACAGGCAGATGCAGGCTTGCTCTGTCTACAAGCCTGCTTTACTCTAGAAGGTGTTCTCAAGCTTATATAGTCCATCTTTCAGTAAATTGCAGTTACTCGATGTGCCTGGCCCCTTTCCAGCAGTGGTAATACCAATGGGAGTTTCCTGGCTTGTGCTTCTTGTTTTTCAGCACCTCTGAATCTTCAGAAATGCCAGACACGATAAGATTGTTGTGTTCAAGCTACAAACAAAAGACTAAAGAGGAAGGTGTGTACGTCTGCAGGATTAAACACAGTTAATAACAGTAGTGCTATTATACAAATTCACTTTCAGTTCCCAGCAAAAGTATATCATACACAAATTCACATCAGGCCTTTGAGTAGGTGGAATGTATGTAGGAGCATGGGGTCTTTCCCCAACCCCTCCTCCTGCAGCTAGTGGTATGTGGCAAGCTAAGCCGGCCGCTGCCAAGCGTTGCATTGCTGTGGAGGTTCTGCATTCCACACCATGGAAGTGCCATTTGTTGGGCTGTTGCTGTTCAAGTTAGCAAGATGTAAAACCACCATGATCTTTTATCACCCAAAGGTGAAATGTGTAGGATGGCTTAACCTATTTTCCTCATCGTTGTCGTAATGTATATATTCAAAGCGTGTGTCAGAGCAACAAGCTATCTTGGAGAACGTTATAACTGTATTTACAAGGATGCGGGATAGTTTGCAAAAGGAGGGAAACATGAAACAAATTAGAAGACTTGTAAGTTGAGTGGGACACTTTTGTTCGAATCAATGTGAAATTTGAATTAACATTAGTCCCTCAGATTTTTTTAGAAGATGGTGTCTGTCTAAATGGCATAGTCTCATACTAATACAGCTGCGTGGCTTGAGAGAGGGCACCATGGCCAGCCTGCAGGTGTCCGTACCTGAAAATGTGGACTTGCTGCTTCTCACTTGAACCCTTCACCATTTCAAAAGTCAGCTGGGGGACAAGACTCTATATTCCATGTGTATGTAGGCTGTAATATATTGCTGTTTTTAAAATAACTATGCTTTGTCTTATGCTTGGCAGCACGAGTCACTCTAGTCGGAGCTATAGGCAGGAGGAAGTTGTGACCAGGCTTCCCTCGGTGTGATAGCCCTGCTGCACGGGGCTGGGCAAGCTGCAGCGCCCTCGGTACCTTGTCTAGGTAACGCTGCACACCTAGCCCAGCCTGGACGCATCTAATGCAGCTCCCATGCTGGAAATCATCAGACTTGGTGGGAATAAGCTTTAGTAATTCCTAAAGGAGCAGAGAAACAGGTTGAAGGTGTAAATGAAACACCATTTTCTGAATGTGGAGCGTGTTTTGTTACGAATACTTTTGTCTGTCTTAGTCCAATAATTCTAACATATAATAAACTGATAGAGCAGGAGGAGAGGATCTTTGTTAGTGCACAGTTGCAGAAAAAGAGCATTTAAATCTGTTGAAATTTCCACCATTTTGGATTTTCTTCAATATTTAATCATTTGCTTCTTGGCTATTGCACTACTTGCCATTTCACTTTGCATTATTTCAGTTGTGTTGAGAAAAAAAAGATAGAGGGTTTCGTTATCTCTAGGGACTGATTTTCTTGGACTGAGTAGTTTGAGTAGTTGGGCAGTGATTTCCAAAGTATCGTGCTAGAAAATATTAACACACCCTTGCAAAGCAGTGCCAGAGTACTCTGGTTTGGTTTTCTTAAAAGCAAAAATGTAAATGTTTTCAAGATGTTGAAAGGTACTTCTGAGTTACTTAGATTTATTCATTAATTTTACAAGAATTACAAATTCTGTCCAAAAAGGCTGACATCCCTAGACAGAAACTTTGTTGCAGTAGACTTGATATAACAGATGTGATATAGCAGACTTGATATAACCTTGTGAAAGGTGGGGGCAATCAAAGCTGTGATGGCAGCTTATTGACAGTCTTTGGTTTTTTTTGATTGAGAGCTACAAAGCCTGGCATGGTGGGCTGTTTCTCTGCTGCTGAATGAGCTAACTTGGGAACCCTGATGCGTCTGGAATTGTCTGCAAGACCCACTTGAAGGCGGGAAATTCTCCTTTTCTTTAAACATTGGATGTCGTTGCTTTAAAAAAATACTGACTCTTTAAAGGAGAAGAGGAAGGAAAGTGTTTGGGGGTGCTTCGTTTCCTCCAATACTGTGCATTTTCAGTATAGAGTCAAAGGATGAGTTTGAGGATTCTTGAATGTGGAAATGTTTCAATTTTTCTTTTTAATGCATAGCAACTCTTGATAGAACAACTACATAATTTTGACATCCTCAGAAATGATCAATATTAAAATCTTTCTCCATATATCCAACTCAGTTACTTTGTGTGGCTTTGTAATTGTCTGTATTTATTTGCTTTCTAAGATACAGTACTTGCTTAAAAATTCCAAGGATACACATGTACTTTTGTCATTTTCTTCACATTTTAGAAAATAAGCTAGGACTGCACAACTTTGTCACTGAAATTGCATTCCCTACAGGAGCTGCAGTATTCACTATGGTTGTATAATATCACAACGTGACCTTTTTCTGCCACATAGTTTTTTCCCTTGTCAGGAAGAAATTAAAAAGACCTTTCATGTTGTTACATTAATAGGCGGTTAGGGCTGCACAGGTTGGTATAAAAAAAATGGGCATACTAAAATAGGTAAGCATAAGCAAATGTATTTAGTAGTTATCATAATCTATGCAAGTGTTCTTTTAAATTTTTGAAATCAGATTGCTATGCCATAATAAACATGAACGTCATTGCCCAGCACCCAGGCTTTGGTAGCTTGGCATTTGGATTTGCAGAATCTAAATTTCCCTGGTTTGTTTTCCATAGAAATGAAATATGTTGTTTATTTATGGATGAACACTAAGCTTCTAGTTGAGAATATACAACCAGGGAGTGCAATAAGCAACCAGAATGAATGTCAGGGGCAGAAGGTGCCCATTTGTATGTATCAGGCAGTAGACATCTACGTGTTTTTATATGATTCTTTATTCTTTGCTTTTTTAACCACATAGAATCAGTACACGATACATTGCTGCTGACAACTGGCAATTTCTGACTTCCCAGTAGAGTTGGATTTTGAGAAGATTTAGATGTGTGGAGTTAAACATGGCTTCCTGAAGCCTTGTGTGTGGAAGTAAATAAGAGTTTCATAGTAGGTGTCAGTGGGCCAAGACTTGACATTTATTGTTATTTTCCTACCCTTAAGAAGAAAAAGAAAGGTGTATTGGGAGATCAGAGACTGTTTGGATGATTTTGGTGACTAGAACAGTGCAGTTAGCAATTTAATTTAGAGAGCCTTAAGAAGTGAGGACGCATTACCTTTAGATTTTTAATTCAGATGATGTCTATCCTTCATGAATCTTTGACTCTCCAAGTTTCGCACCCTTGCTGGGATCTCAGAGTGTGCAGCTCTTTCAGATGAAATGAGCCTGGATGAGGCATTGCAGTTGCTGACGGGTAGGCAGACCATGGAGCCAGGCTCAAAACCCATGTGTGTGTAGATACGCGGTCCTCAGTACCAACAGTTTCACTCTGGAGGTCCTCTCCTGCTGCACCACGAGTTGGTTGTATAGGCATGGCCTCAAATGACTGTACTAGTGGGGAAGGGGATCTGAGGAAGGGAGCTGGGAGGATCTAATTACCTTGTCTTAGCCAATGGGCGAGGCAGTAACATCCAGATGTAGGCGCAATCATTTATGGCTGGTAGTGTCTTAAATGGCTCAAGCACTTTTGCAAGTAGTCAGCTGAGCATATTGTCCATCATGGATTATTGATTTGAAAAAAAAAGTGGTTTATGCTTAGAATAGAAAAATGTAGACCACTAAAATTTCTGAGGATAACACATCTGGGCATTAAGACAACAAGGGGACATTTAAAGCAAGCTGCATTTTGACCCGGGGTGGGGGGGGAGTGAGCTTTGACATTTTTGATGGTTATTCCTTTGTGAAAGCCTATAGGCTGCAAGGTATTTGAGGGCTTGAACATTCAGTATTTCAGTCAGCACAGATTAATAGAACAAGATGAAAAGTACTTCTGCAGCATGAACAAAACTACTCGTGTTTTCTTGAAGGTTTATTTAGCTCTCCCTGAGAACATAGGCACAATATCTGTGTTCATTTGATCTCTGTGAAAAGTGGTGGATGGCTTCCTTTTTTTTTCCCTTTTCATTTTGCTCAGTTGATTTATTTATGAGTTACTGTTTGTGTGGAATGGTTGATTGGTTTTAGAGAGAAGTGGAAACTTCTGTCAAACGCTCCTGTTGGGTGTAGATTCATGTCCCTGCAATGTGGTGCTAAGGCATTTCAAAGCAATTGTATTCTTGTTAAGACAAAAGTAATACGATAGAGAAGGTTTCGGGCGCTTCGGTGGCAGTGAAATAAAACTGCAAAACCTAAAACCAGGAGGTTGCAAGTGTCGCTTGCAATGTGTTGGATGCCATAGATTAGTTCTGTATGACCTTTTGCAGGAGTGAAAACGTATTAGATTTTTGAGCTATCTTTCCCTAGACAGTACACAGAGTGCTAAAATCCTGCATGTTTTGGCAGAAAAAAGATAGAGCACAAAGCAACAGCTGGATTTGAAAGCCGGATTTATTTAAATTAAAAATGCAAACCCCATTTCTAGCAGAATATGATTGACCATTGAAAATATAAACAGCCAAGGGAATGGCAATTCGTCTCTTGATGTCTTCCAGTCAAAACTTTAGTCAAGCGCAAGTTATTCCTTGGTTATGCCTGATTTCCCAGGATAATGGGGTGTCAGTCTGCAGCTGCATTATGCAGGAGGTCACACTTGATATTTGTTATGATCTTTTTAGATTTAAAATCAGAAACTATAACATGAGCCAAATTGTAATCAGTGGTGTTTGTGTTTGTCTCTCCCTCCGCTCGCAGGTACTACAGTGCTACCATTTTGCAGATGTCAGGAGTTGAAGACGACAGGCTTGCAATCTGGCTGGCTGCACTGACAGCATTTATAAACTTCATTTTTACTCTCGTGGGAGTCTGGCTCGTTGAAAGAATGGGTCGCCGGAAACTTACACTTGGTAGCTTAACAGGTGAGTGCTTAATTAGTGTGTTGTATATTCCTCATAATTATTAATCAAATGAAAATAAAATTTCAAGTGCTAATTTTATCACAGTAGTCCTCTTTAAAATAACAGTGTTGACCTCGTCTTCTCCCTGAAATCATACAGCTTTTCAAGACTAGTAGTATAGTACCACAGCTAAAGGCTAATTTAAAAAATAGAAGTTTAGCATGTTATTTTTTCAGGTGCAGTTTCTTCTTCAAGCCATGTTTGACAATGTTTTCGTTTAGCTTTTTACCCTTTTTTTTCAGTATAAGGAATCCAATGCTTGGAACTTCACAGCTGGTTAGTTTCTAAATCTCGTGTGTGTATATGTGATATGTGATTTCTGACTCATTAATGTGAATTCAGAACATCTTATCAAGAACTACTGGAGAAAGCGTATCGCATAGCCATTTCAGCACTTTTTAAAAACTAATGCAGTTCTTTGCATAGTTATCTCAAATACAATACAGTAAATGCCTTACCTACATTAATGTGATTTTAATTCATCTCCTGTATGAGATACTAAAGGACAGAATTCTGGATTTGTACGTTTTTTCCAAAGATTCAAACACCGTAACTCATCACGTAGCCATCTCTTGGAAGCAGGAAAAGGCAGAGCAAGCAGTCTTGCCTATGCTCAGCCGCATCCTGCCGTTTACCCAGTAAGTCCCTGCTTGCTCCCGTGTTATGTGCTCATTCTGGCTGAAGTGATCTGTGACCAATACCTGCCTCTGGCTGAACGTCTGAAAGGTTCAGACATTTCCAAGAACAGGGTTTGGAAGAGAGAAAACAGTTCCTGCTCCTCTTGAAATAATGTTCACAAGTGCTTAGCTGGGAAGGTTTAATGTCTCCATATTTTGTTCTGTTGTCGCTGTCAGGGATCCAAACTTCTAGTTAATGCAACACAGCAGAGTCGGGGACCACCTGCCAAGTTGCTGGCCATCTGCAGTTCCCAAGGGATGGGAGTTAATCTACACTCACAGTATTTGAATGCATTTATATGGGCAGAACAGTGATGGCATAGTGTCACATCTGGTTTGATACACAGTTACTCAAATTTGTAAATTAAAACATGCAGTTTGGAGGCTATTTGGTATTTCCAAGTTAAAATAAATGTGTATTTGGAGTGTTACCGTTTTGATTTGGAGTCGGGAAACATGAAGTATTTTTCACAATCCAAGTTCAGAAACATCCTCCATGACAGAGGAGATTAGAAAAGCATGTTCTTCACATCTTAAAAAAAATGAACAAAAATCTCAAATTGCTACTTTTATCACAGTCTATCTCCAGATCAGTTAAAATACATCTCCCCTATAAGTTCTTCAATGTCTCCAGCCAGTGCCAAGTCTTTCAGAGGGGAAAGACCAAGTTCTGTACCATTCCCTATGCTCAATACCTTTTTTTCCCCTGTGGTACTTGTCCGTTTTCTTGTCTTTCTGCAAAGTAGATCTCTCCTTGCACTGCACTGGTACTTCTGGTTCTTGGGTGCTGCCTCTCCTTTATTCTTCATTGGAATGGAGTATTTATATGTTTATATATTTGGCCCTGATGCCTCATACATCTGGCCAGCCCCTCAGGAGTTTATTGCTTATCTGGACCCAGCTGTATAGGTGTGATTCCCATGTGGACTTTTCATACAATCACAGAACTCTTTGCTTTTTGGCTCCAGTTAACATATTCAAAGGTCATACATTTGAAATGTAGATATAAATGTCTCATACAAAGCATATTAGTCATAGAACAGAGAAGAATATAGAAATAAGACACAGAATTGTGTGTATGAAGGAGAATAATACAGTTAAGAGTTATTTGTTTATCATGTTTGGACACAAAGTAGTTGTTCGGTAAAAATATTCTTGGTCCTTTTGTGGTCAGTTGCCGGTCTGCAGCATCACTTGATCCATGCTGCATTGCTTGCTGTGTTCTTTATCATACAGTCCCTCCTTAAGGAAGACACAAATAATGACAGTAATGAAATCGTATGTCACCTCTCTGTATTATTTAGAATTTTTTTATGCAATATTTGACACTTTGAGGTAGTGGTGGTTATGCTGTGTTTTTCTTAGCAAGAGGGCTGTTTAATAAAATGATATTTACTAAATCTGCTGATGGATTTGTTTTCCATGATGAGTTTTCTCATGGGGTAAACTTATATTTTACTGCTCTACGTTGGTTTGCGTTTCTAAGGACACCGACTTTCACACTGAGTTATTACTGGCTGCTTCTCTGGTCTTTGGAGAAGCCAGGTATGCCCCAATCTCCCATTACATAGAATGAGGACAAAACTACTACCTTTGCCTGCTGCTGCAAGGGTGTGGGAGTTTTTTTGGTAAAGGTTAATTGATTTGATGTTTGTTAGATGATAAGTTACAAGAATAATCAGCAGAGAGATAGTAATGTTAATATTTTGATTAAAAGCCAACATACTGTAATTTAATTTTGTAAACTCATGCAGCTTTTCCTGCTTTCTGAAAACATTTGGGAAAGAGCTATTTTACATTTAATTTAATGTATCTTTATCATTTTCAAATTTTAGCAACTCTTGGAAAATTAAACCTTTCGGATAGATCCGGAAGCATTAGGAAAATTATAGTAAACTGTGTCTGCCAAAAAAAAAAATCACACCTTTTTAGTTCTCTTTACTACAGTTACTGATTCCTCTTAGTTTCCCATTCATTTTATATCTTGGCATCATTTCTTTATCTTTCTTTTGTTCTTTTTCTTCAGTTAATTTCTTTCTTCAAAGCTGTTAATTGGGAAACATGCAGGAATTTTGACTAGTGCAGTATCCATTTTATTTGTGTTTTCCTTTTTCCCCTTCAGAAATTGTCAATTTGAAAACATGGTGGTATTTGGGCATTGGACAATTTGTATCTCTTTTTGTAACAGAGAGGATCTAAAATATCTTCAGGATATTTCCTTTTTTTTTTTTTTTCATCTCAGCTAATGATGTACTGTAATTGTATGTTTTTGTTCATCATAGGCAAACTTCCCACAGAATGAAAATATGCAATAAACTTCATTCGCCAAGGTTACATATTCAGTACTTTTCCAAAGAAATAAGGCATTTGCAGAGGTACTGGAAGTGAGTGTTAGTGTATTTGGTTAACTTAAAAGACAGACAAAGCATATTTAGAATGAATATAAATAAGATTATAGGCCCTGTATAACGATATTTGCTGTCTGGTTTATGGCATTTTGAAAGTACAGTAAATCTAGTGCAATATTCAGCCTGCCTAGAAAACTGGGGTTATTAGCATACCTACTAGCCATAGCAGTACAAAGCCAAGTATAGAATAAACTGAAACCACATTTTATGGTGGTTAGGTGCTTTCTTCACATATAGTTTGTGATTGAGTTTAAGGTCTTAGTTGCCTCGGTTCAGGTAAATGTGTGGTCCAATCATCTCCAGTTCGTGCATATTCATGCCTATTAGCCATTGCTGCTGCACAGACACATTCATGAATAATTTTATTACACAGATCTTGGTACTTAAGATATTATTTATATCTCAGAAAAAGTTTTTCACATACTTGGTGGGTTTGCCTGCTAGGAAACTCTTGCTTTTCTCTTTAAAAACACCATCAAACCCACCCCTGAAACTGCCAAGACATTCCCTCTGCTCTCCACCCACCAAAAAACCCCAAACCCTAAAATAAAAACCAGATAATGTGTAATTGCTTGTCCTGGTTTCAACTGGGATAGAATTAATTTTCTTCCTAGTAGCTGGTACAGTGCTGTGTTTTGGATTTAGTATGAGAATAATGTTGATAACACACCGATGTTTAGTTGTTGCCT